CGTAGAGCGTCAGCTAGTTCACTTGAGGACATTTCGTTAGCATTTTTAATTCCAACAGACTTAGCTAATTGAATGACCTGAGACTTTTGATTGATTTGTCTTAAGAGCGGGCAATTTGCATGGCCGCTCATTAATACAGCATTGCGAAACAAACCTAGAGAGGGTTGTGTTTTTGATTAGTAAAGAGTTATTTAACACATTTAAAAAAAAAAGCTTTAGGCAGTGCAGAATTTTACATTAAATTTGTCGAGCACAGTGGTTTGWGTACGYGACCCTTAWACATAAGTACCTTTTGAAGCCGGGCTTAACATGTGGAAATGCGAAGAAAAACTGCCAGCACTATGGCCAAAAATAGTAACACGCGAAGGATCACCGTTGAAGACAGCAATATATTTTTGTACCCATTTAAGCGCCATGTTCTGGTCCTTAAGTCCAAAATTACCAGTCATATGCTCATCACCGGTACTAAGAAAACCTACAGACATCAATAATTTCACAATTTTCATTATTTATCACATAGATTCCTTTTAAGGAAGCTTGAAAATTTTAGTAAATACCCACCAAATTGACCTAAGCGATATGCGGCTAATACCAATATAACCTCATTAGTTTCCATAAAATATTCAGGACCATTCACTGCGGGACTTGGAGTGCCCGAAAAAAAGCCTCCACCGTGTATGTAGAACAAAATGGGTAGCTTCTCAGTAGACGCTTTCTAAAATTGACAAAAATACAGTGAGGTAAAATAAATGTAGCAAATATTTCTCAACGTCTTTATACTTTAGGGCGATACAAATTCAAGTAAAGGCAGTCCTCTTCACCACTAATCATAGGTATGTGTGGAATTGGGTTATATTGAATGCATTCAGTTCTCGGTTCTTTGACCATAAGTTTGTCCTTCCATGGTTCAACTGGTATAGGGTGCTATTATATAAATAAAATAGGATATTTGCTATTAAACTTTATATTCTCCATATTCTCCCATATTTTCTTACCTTAAATCGCAATTCACCGATCGGTGGTTTAGCAAACGGTATGCCATAAAAGGCCTCATATTCTTGACCCTCACTGCCTGTTGCATAAATACCTTCGATACAGCCCAATTGATCGATACAGACTTCGGGACCACCGGCTTTCGTAACGGAAAAGTTGAAATAATTTGCAAAAAGYACAAAGAGCAGCGTATACATTTTGTTAATCAATTATTAAAATACAGATGAAATGATTGATTCGAGTGATATTTTCATCAGTTTTATAGGTTTCCGCCGACTTTGAATGTCGGCAACGGCTTGCGTGTTTCGAAGAACAAACAAATATTTACACAAATTATTATAATATTATTATAATACTTGTACAATATATTGTATATCTACAGTAGAGACTCAAAAAGTTAAGACGCATAAAATTTAAGTATAGGGAAAAGTTAAGCAACTTTCAGTATTCACGGAAGGTACATGTGATGAAATTAAGAGAAAAACTTTACATAAAGCAGAATAACGTGAATAATTGGAAAATCAGCTGCACAAGTGGCTCTTAAATCAACGAGAAAGACACAGCCCAATAAGTGATCCCATTTTGAAAGCTACGGCAAATCATCTTTTTTAACAAATTTTTTTTTTTTTTTTGATGCAAATCGAAATCCAAATTTTTTAAAACTGGATTCCATACAGTATTTTTAAAAGATGTAAGATGTGTTTTTATTTATTAAGTGATTTCCAACTAGACTATATTCCGATTTGTTCTGTAGATACGTCGTTTGAATGTTCAAAAATATTCATATTTATAACTTGCCTGTAAAGGTCATTCTTCTATTTAATAATTGGCGACGGGAACAGTTTTTGTGCTTCTTCCATCGAATGTCACAGCAGCTACTCAACCAATGGACCTGAATTTTTTGGCATCCATTGTGGACCAAGAAGGTCTGTTGATTCATGAATTATTGCGGAAACCCGATCTTCGTAATGCAATTTTGCTCTTAAAACTTGCCCTCAAAGTGTTTTACAAAAAGCGTTGCATAACTACCTAAATTGTCTAAATCATCAGAATGGCGACAAAAACAATATGCTCTATCAGTGCTACTTTCACCGGATTCTTTTTATAATCGCATATTTGAAGAGACAGAAGAGTTGTTGACAAGACTAGCCCCTGATGGCATTCTCTCAATTGAAGATATTACTATATGGAATGCCGACTTGCTTGATGAGAATGAAAATAACACAGGAATGAAGATAATAACAATGTTTCCGAAGCTCCAGAGTTTGTATCTTACAATGAAGCAATATGCGCTGTTAATACGCTTATTAAATGGAATGAGTGCAATACAAAGTTCTTTAACAAGCATATTTCACATCTTCTCGAGCTACGAAAAGTTAAGTACCCCAATAACAAACTGCTTAACTTTTTCGAGCCTCTACGGTATTTAAAAAGGGMATTGAATAGTGTTGTTCTACGCCAATATATTAAGGATGTTTCTTTTTATATGAAAATACTGTTGCTTTACATTTATATAAATATTATATATAAAATTTGTGTAGTTTTGAAGTTCAGTGTTTTTTGAATTACAGGTTTTTTGCCATTTTGCACTTAAATTGTTAGTGAACTGAAAGTTAGAAATCTTAACTGTATTTTTTAAGATATTACTTCACTTAGAAAAAAGCGGAATATTTAAGATTAATTTCTAAAATAAAGACGAATCATAAATCTGTTCAGATAGACGATAATTTTAGCAAAACTGGTTATTCTACCTGTTTTTAATTTTGAAAGTATTTCCCTTTGACTTTTGAGACGAATTGTCTAGCTCTTGGCATTTCAAAAATCATAAAATGTGAAAAAACGAAAAAGGGCATATCGGACATACTTAAATAAAAAATAACTACAACTTTCCTTCATTCGATCGAAAGTACAACAAGCAAAAGTTTGAACCACACATATATGTTGCATCACACCGCTACTCCGGATGCGTGCGTGCTTTGCGTGTTTTGGGGTGCTGAAAGCATTTAATAACACAAATTGCTTAACAGTTTACTTAATTTATTTGTGAACTATTCATACTATTTATATATTCATATTATAATGAATAATCACTGAATAATAGTTCGATACTGCGAATGTAGCTGATCAAAAGAACTTAAATATAGTATTGATTCGAGTAAGAGATTAATTGAAATATGCCTTGCTAATATAAAGRAAATATACATATGTGCATTAGGGTGATTCAAAAAAAATATTTTTTTTCGTTTGGTACTCTGAAAAAGGAGCCTCTCCAAGAATGAGTTCTTRATTGTAACGGAAAGGTCCTCCTACTTACAATTTTCTATTTTTTCTTATTATCATATAGAAAAATTTATATCTCACTTCCAACTACTTGAAAAAATATCTTGTTCCTTAGATTTTGTAGGATTTAAAAGATATTAACGGTTGAAGTTTGATTATTTTTAGGAACATTTTTTATTCTTATGAATTTTATAACTCAATGAAAAAAATCATTATCAATGATGAAGAGTACCAAACAAAAAAAAAAATTTTTTTTTGATTCACCTTAATATGCATTSATGTTTGACGATGGATATCTCGTAAACGCTTAACTTAATCGAAAAATCATAAGAGACCATTTTTATAGAGCAGTAAATTTGCTACAAAACTATGAGTTTCATCATTCATAATGATTTTATTTCATTGAGTTATAAAATTCATAAGAAATAAAAAAATAATCAAGCTTCAACCGTTAATATCCTTTAAACGGTTGGGTTTACGAAAAAATCGTAGACTTTTTTTGTAGAGCATTCAATTTCCTACAAAATCTMAGGAACAAGATATTTTTTCAAGTAGTTGGAAGCGAGATATAAATTGTTCTATATAAGATAATAAGAAAAAACAGAAAATTGTAAGTAGGAGGACCTTCCCGTTACAATTAAGAACTCATTCTTGGAGAGGCTTCCTTTTTCAGAGTACCAAACGAAAAAAAATATTTTTCCTTCCTATTTTACCTTCCCGTTACAATTAAGACTAATTACAAAATACATCAGTTCAAAAATATAAATAATAGACATTATTCGACAGTGATAGATTTTCTGCTTCAAAGGTTTCAACATAAAGAAGGGTGCATGGGTCTACTAACAAGAACGACGTTGCTGGAATTTCGGATACAGTGTGCTGAATATTGTTTTCGAGGTCCTCGAGAGTTGACAATATTCCACGTAAAATTTCGTAAAAATATCTCGTCAAATGAAAAAGTTTCCCAGACAAGTACTTAATTCAATACAGATATCGAGGGTTCCGATAAATTAGGAACTTCTTAGGGAGAAAAGAATGTGTGCAAATTTTTAGATCGATCTCTCAAAAATTGACAAAGTACAGACTGTCAGCCGTACCTGACGGACAGGGCTAAATCGACTCACAGCGTCATGCTGATCAATTATATACTCTCTCCAGAACTACTAGCTAGAAACACAGTATTCCCTGAAATAAGGGGGTCAGCAATGTACGCCCCTTTTTGAGAGGTTGCCTGAAGGATCACTCATTCACTGGTTGAAAAACCATTACGAGAAATATACTATATGGTATATCAATATTATTTTTGGCTTGGTATTAGCTAATGTAAGGATCGATCCATATTTTATCTTCGGTCCCATATGCTCGTATTTACAAGGATGGATATAGACTTTCCATCTGATTTTTTTTTGTGATGGATTGTACTGTGATAAGGGTAAGGTCAATTGAAATTTCAAATCAATTTCATTCATTCTTCTACGCAGTTTTTTTTTTTGATTTTTCTGATCATACGGAGAAAAATCGGGCGAAAACGGTGGTGAATGAAGCATATGAGTCGAGTTGTTTGCAAAGAAGTCGCGAAAAAACAATACAGTGAGACATGGTACATTACCGTGACGAAGAAACTAATTCAGACTTGAGGCGTTTGGGACACAAAAAATTCTTCAAATTCTTCAAATTTTTTGTGCCAACACTATTAACAGGATCTCTAATTGTCAAACGATTTCTTCAAGTACCAAATATTTGATTATTCGGCGTGGCATAGGATGGTAAGGATTAGTTTGTCATCGAGGTCATCCAACGGTAGGCCCAGGAAACTTACTGTTTCGACGGAGTCTGACCATAGGAAGAGGAGTACCAGATATGTAGGGTTAACACGACATGCAAAGAGATCGTTAGTGTCATGCGGGGACTCGTTGCACGCTGGACATATGTTTGATGAATCGGCAAGTTTTAGGATTGAAGTTGATGATCTCCAGAGTGCTGTTCGTCTTTAATGCGTTTTCGGCCCGCTTTGAACTCWATGTACTACTTATGGACAGTCCTACCAACCAAAACTTATCTGCCTCAGTGAGACTTTTATTTAACGCCATCTATACACACTTTCTCAAAATAAAAATTCGAAACTCAATTCAGGTCGGTGTAGAAAAGGAAAGCAAATTTATTAAAAATTCATATTTACAACACATTTKTTTGCTTTTATATTATATTCACAGTGACTTTTGTATTAAACGTAATTGTATAATATTAAATTGCTTTCGTTTGGTTAACAATAAGTTTACACACAAACTGTCTTTACACATGAATAAATAAATATTAAAACTTATAGTAATTTTAAGGGTGTTTACTAATGCTAATTTAAAGAAAATAAACGATTTTTTTTATAAAAAAAATAATAAAAAATTCTTGTTGTTGTTCATTTAAGAGAATTTGTTACGCCCTCACCAAGTATAACAAAATACAGGGTGATGGAAGCCAATAATGATTTATTTGATGATTACTTCAGAAAAATATTTAATTTAAAAAGTCATATAAATATATGAAATTAATTGAAGATGAACAGAAAAAAATATTTTTTTAAAATTTAGTTTTTTTACAATTTATGCTTAATTATGACTTCGATGGGAATATACGTTCAACAACACCATTTTTTTTTAATAATTCTAATAATTGTTTTTTTTTTTTTTAAAAACCAAAAAATTCATGAATAATAATAGAAAAAAAGTGGAAAAAACCTAGGCCTACATAGTAAGTAACATAAATATCAGCAGAAGCATTGAAATTCTCTCTTATCCAAATTAAACCGCATATAATGACTTCTAAGTGATCTTAAAAATATACCTTTGAGWTACATTTTTCTACTTTTTTTCATAAACTATTTTAATTCACAGTTTTAATAACGAAATTTTAACTGCAATTA